AAAATTTTATTTTGGGATAGAAATGATGAAATGAAGGTAAAGGCTTATAACCATTTTTCAAAAAATAAAGGTAGGAAGAGAAAAACTGTGTGTGGATCACTGATGAATGTCTGAAATAAGATGGTTAATAAAGCTACAAAAATAACAAGTCTTTCATTGAAATAAACCAATTGATTTATTTTACTCACTCTAAACATTTATAATAGTTCGCATTGAACATAAACCATATAAATATGACTCCTAATATACTAGTTTAATCATAGCAAATAAATCGAAAAAATAATCTGCGGTCTTACAGTATGTTTTATATTTAAGGTTTAATGATTCAAGTGTTTTTTTTTTCGATAAGTTATATAGGTACATTTGCTTTTTTTTATATATTTTTGATTCTCAAAATGAATAATAACTATTAAACATTTTTAGAATCTATCTATATAAAAGAAAAAATATACCTATTTATCTTATCAAAAAAAAAACTGATCAAATAAACCCTTCACCGTCAATATAGTGTGGTAGCTGGCTACACACATACACGCACACATACGTGCGACTTTTTTTAGCTGGCGGATAGATGGCGCTGAGGTCGTGACCTATTTAAAGTTTGAGTTTGCTATCTATCTCCAGTATAATATTGTAATCTTTGGTCGCAGCAATATGCGACAGACAATAAAAATGTTACGTGCGCAAACGCCAGACATTCCATTAATGAAGCGGGTGAGATTTTTACGTTAAGACCCATATACATCTCAACTGTGATTTCTGCGTGATTTTTCTCGGAAACAAAAATAAATTAACAATTTTGACTTGTTGAATAGTGAAGAATAACTCTTGGTATAGAAATAAGTGGCCTAACTTTTTGGAAATTTTGCTCATCTTTTTAATTAAACCCAAAATACCAGAGATAGATTTTCATAAAATGCGCAGGCACTTTTTTTGAGCTCCTGGATTGAGCTACTGTTCTTAAAAAACGAAATAAAAGAAATAGATTGATATCCCTTATATAGTCGTAAAGTAAACAGTAGCGTCGAAATTTTGAAATAGCACTGATTAAATAAAGAAAAACAATCATATATAAACCAAAAAACACCAAAAATTGCTTGAAGTTAACTATGAATTTTTCTTAGCCACAACAATATTATTTAACAAAATTTATGCCAGATTAATGACTATTTCATAAGGAACAAAGATATTATAATTTTAAAGCATAAATTTATTATATTATTTCAATAATTACGATAAATGTAAACGCAAAATCACTACAAAATACGAAGCAGCGGCCGTCTGAGCTCAGTACCGCGCGAGCGCTCCTCAACGTTAGACCTGTGTCGCATTACTTCGCGCCATTTTCGATCTAGATACGTTCGAGCGAGCGTTAAGAGCAGTATAGTGGGACTTCCAACTTTGGTCACGAAGTTCGATTTATTTGGAATTTATATAGCTTGTTGAATTATTTTTTATACACATTTGTTATTTTCAGCATGGGTCTAAAGACCACTAGGTATATTTGTGTAAGAAAGTTAAAATATATATTCATATTAAGAAATGCAAATAAAGCAAGGTACTTCTTCTCTCAATACACTTAAACTAGTGCATAAAAATTGGATTGCATATTCGTAATAATAAAAAAATAACCGCTTTTCACTAAATACATTTGTGTGTATACATGGTACATATATTAAAGTAATATTATTTATCTGTGTACACGCGGTACATAAATAATAATACTTGTTAGAGTATTAAAGTTTTACTGAGTAAAAACGTTAGAAAACAGTACAATAGAATATGTAGGTTTGTTCGAGTTCGTAACGATAATGCGCGCGTGCGCTCCGCCGTGGTGTTAAGTCGGGACTGACGAGCGCGCCGGAGCCGCGCTTTTGTGGCGTCTGTCCCCTCACCCCCGCTCCTCGCTATAGGGATGGGACAGCAGCGTGAACAATCTGTCTTGTCTGTTAGTTCTGGCTAATCTCTGAAACGGCTTGGCCGATTTTGAAGGGACTTCCACTAGAAGTTGACTTACGTAATAAGGATTAACTAATGGCCTGATGCAATTAAACCGATATCAAATTTATTGGAGATCCGCATATCAAACAACTTTTTCTAAATTTAATATATTTTTAATCCCCGACGCAAAAACCACGCGGTGTTATAAGTTTGACGTGTCTGTGTGTCTTTCTGTGGCATCATAGCTCCCGAACAGATGAACCGATTTTGATTTTGTTTTTTTTTTTGTTTGAAAGGTGTATTAGTCGGGAGTGTTCTTCACTATGTTTGATGAAAATCGATCCAAGATGGCCGCCGCCATAAAATGTCGGATTACATATTTTATCACGATTCCCTCAATACGGATATCAAATAAAAGGGCTTGAGTAGTAGAACACTGAACACTATGACAAAATGTTATATACAAGATGGCAGCTGCCACAAAATGTTGGATTATCTACATATTTTGTCACGATTCCCTCAATACGGATATCAAACAAAAGGGCTTAACCGTATACTATGACAAAATTTTATATACAAGATGGCCGCCGCCACAATATGTTGGATTACATACATATTTTGTCATGACTCCCTCAATACGGATATCAAATAGAATACTATAGGTACACTATGACAAATTACAAATCCAAGATGGTCGCCATCATAAAAGTGCGAAGTTATATAATAGGTACAGACAGTCACATGTCGGGCTACCACAATCTAACACTGAAATAATGTTTCAAATCGGACTAGTAGTTCCTGAGATTAGCGCGTTCAAGCAAGCAAACAAACAAACAAACTCTTCAGCTTTATAATATTAGTATAGAGTAGCAATTGAAGGCGTGAAGTTATTTGAACTTATATTACTATACGGTAAGTTAGATTTAATTCGGTGTAGCAGTTTCAAATTAAGAGGGGGGGGGAGTAAAAGTGGGGATGTCCAATGTTATAGCTATTTTAATAGAATTGAGTCCCATCTTAGAAACTAGATCTGAAATACCTAAGATAAATACCTAATTACATAACTATGAAATACTTGTACGAAAGTAGAAAAACTAAAACTAGAAAAAGATAATCGCCATATTAACTGAATTGCAACTTGCAAGAAAATTAATCAAAAATGAAGGACTCTCTAAAAAAGCAAGAAAAAATAAATAGTTAAATTAAAAATTTAAAAGACCCCCGACACAATATAATAAAAAAAAAATAAAGTAAAAAGCTAAAAAAACTAATAAAAAGAACTATAACTTAATTGTCCACAAATAATGCAAAAAAAGGGAAAAAACGTGAAACCCTCAAAAAGAAAAAAATAACCTTGACATTATGACCCTACATTATTACAGACAACAGCATGTCAGACTATTTCACTTTGAACTTTGCGCTAATATTGAACTGCAAGTACAATGGCGAACATGGCCGCTCTTTCACCAATTTAAGGCCAATATCGCTTGCGTTTAAACTAACGTAAAAATCTCGCCCGCTTCATTAATTAATGGAACGTCTGTCTCGTTTGTGCACGTTACATTTTTGTTGTCTGTCGCATATTGTTGCGACGTTGCCAGCGCGGACTAGACCGGCCGTTGTTAATTTATGATTTTTCGTATATTGTTAAATGAAAATTCTTGAAGATTCATTTTTGTATACACTGCTCTGATGGCAAGTTTTATTACTTTTATAATTATTGAGTAAATGGTGGGTTTTATATGAAAAATAATTATATATTATTAACGCAAGATTGATAAAAATACAATAGAAGTTTTTAAGCTTTTTACTTTTTTTTATTATATTGTGTCGGGGTCTTTTAAATTTTTAATTTGACTATTTTTAATTATGAAGTGTGTCGGTTTACGGTTTCGCGTTCATAAGTACAATTAGTTTCAAACATGTAAATTGCCGGCCGATTGCCGGCCTTTGCAATCGTCGCTTAACCTCCTCAATCGCAGATCAAACGAGCTATTCGGCACCATCGGTCTTTTCATTTGTTTATATACGGATATTGCCGTATTTTTTTGTAAAATTCAATAAATTTTGATGATATGGTATGTTTGCGCAACTGAATCGTTCCTCGATATTACTGAACAGAAAATCAAAAGCAGATCGAGCGTTCTACCGCCTTCATACATTTAAAGCGGTACCGCAGACCATGAGATTTGTGACCGATATTGACAGATAGTACAATGTCATGAGCAAACACTTGCGGTTTTCCATACATTTTATAAGTGCGTGCGATTCGTGTGATATCGTTCATCGATATCGAATAACATCGCATCTAGCCATGAGAAAAGAACCTAAGGTTACTTTCCATTCGCATAAAGTCGCGGACACGTTTAACACGGACTAGTTTAATATAATTGAATCGGTCATTTCAAAAACCACTTAAGTCACATTTTTTCCAACATGCGTTTTTTTGCTGAAAATGCTTCCTCAAAGGTAGATGCGTATTCTGGGTGAAAACAGCTTAAGTCAATACATTCCTTCCTCTTTTAATAATACCGCGTGAAAGACGTTCATTGCTTAAACAACATTAGTCAATGACTTAAGAGGTTTTTGCATGCATCACTAGATGGCAGGAGTAGTTTATGACTGAGATTGACATTTTAAAATTGCTTTGCAACAATATTTAAATTTTTGTAAACCATCGCCATTATTGTCATTTGAACTTCACTTGTCTTTTACTATTTTAAGAGAAAAGTAATTTTTGCTTTAAAAAATGTCTTCAAGTGAAACTGAGAGTGATGGTGAGCCGAAAAAGAAGAGAACGTGTAATCCTACAAAATATAAAAGGAATGTTATAAAAAATTCTAAAGTTAAAGGTCAGGCACATACTAATTATCGAGGAAAACAAATAGCTCCAAGATCTACTGGTGAAAATTGCAGGCAAGTTTACCATAAACCTTTATTCAGTTTACGTTTTTTAAAGGGGTCTATATAAACCTAATATATCGTTTAATTATTGCAGTTGTAAGAAGGAATGTTTTGCGAATTTCAATCAAGATGACATGGACTTTTGCATTTCAAAAATGAACTGTTTTTCAACCAAAAATGAGCAGGATATATTTCTTCAAACACTTATTGATAAGTCAGATATAAAACAGAGGCGTCCTCGAAAAGAAAATGCTACACAGAGGCAAAATGCCTTTCAATTCTATGTTTTAAAACAAACTGATAAAGTTAAAGTCTGCAAGAACACATTTATCAGCCTGTATGGAATTACAGAAGCCAGAGTTCGCAGACTTTGTGATTTGCTTAATGAAGGGAAGAGTCCAATAGATAAGAGAGGATGCCACCCGAAAGCAAATACAGTGCCTCCTGAAATATGCCAAAAAATACACGAACACATCCTCTGCTTTCCTAGGAAAAAGACACATTATGCAGGAAAAGACATAGATTATCTTGATGCACAATTGGATGTCAAAAAAATGCATTCAATGTTTAATGAACAATATCCAGATCTCGATGTAAAGTACAAATTTTACTTGAAATACTTTAATGAAAACTTTACCCTCAGATTTGGTCGACCACAAGTCGACACATGTATAACTTGCGAAGAACTATCAACAAAAATAAAACAATCCAACTTATCAGAAAATGCAAAACGTTCAGTAGTAGCTCAGTTAATGATCCATAAAAGACGTGCCAAGAAGTTTTATAACAAAATTTCATCAGTTCAAGATCTTTGTAAAGAACAAGATGATGTTGCAGCGATAACATTCGATTTTATGCAAAATCTACCATTACCACACATACCTATACAAAACATTTTTTATTTACGGCAATTATGGGTTCACTGTTTTGGTATTAAGGATTTAAAAACAGGCAAATCGACATTTTACATGTATCATGAAGGTATTGCTAACAAAGGAGCCAATGAGGTTTGTTCAATGTTGATGCATAATATAAAAAATAATATTGGGCCAAATATTAAGTATTTATATCTTTTTTCCGATGGCTGCCCCGGTCAAAATAAAAATAATACAATGTTGAGATTTATGTTGGCTTTGACTGACTCTAAAAGATTTGAAAAAGTTTATCAGTATTTTCCCACACGAGGTCACTCCTTTTTACCAAATGACCGTGATTTTGGAGTCCTAAAAAAAAATGATCGAAAGCATGATCGTATTTACGTCCCAGGAGAATACATTGATTTGGTTTCGAACTCCAGCTCAACATTTACAGTCGTAGAACTGAAAACTGAAGATGTTTTAGAATTTAAGAAATGGTGGCCAAATTTGTACAAAAAAACATGTTTGTCAACTGAATCTTATGGAAAAAAAGTCCCAAAGGACCAGAAAAAGTCATTTGCTCCTTCGACATACATGAGTTTTCAGTATGATTCAGATAGAAAAGGAACTATCATAGCCGAGGAATATATTGATGGATTGATCAAACATTCGTTCTCATTAATAAAGAAAATAACAACTTCTATTTCACTTCCATCAAATAAAGCCTATGATTTGAAAGTGCCCATCAATAAAAAAAAAAATAGATGATTTAAAACAAGTTGAAGATAGCATTCTGGAAGAGCATATGCCATTTTATAACAACATTTTTAGCTGGCCAACTGCAATAATTGTTGAAAATAATCCAGATGAGAATGATGGAGAATATGACTATGTACCATAAAAATATAAAAAAATAACAAGTTAATGTATCTAAAATGTTAATAAGATTATTTTGAAGTGCAATTCTTAATTATAAGCAATAAAAAATATGATTACTACGATTGTTTTGTTTAAATTATATGCCACTAAACCTATTCCTTGCTAAAACAACATAAGTTTTTAACTGTTTTTTCAGATTTTTTTCATTATGTCTATTAATAAAATGTAAAGATTATACGCTATTTTAATTTCTTATCACTCAAATACTAAACTAAACATTAAAAAGCCCTTTAAAACTCATTTGTTTGTGTATGAAACAGTTTTTATTGATTTCTGAAAAATTATAATTCTGTGACTTATGAGGTTTTTGAAATGACCGATTCAATTCTAATTGACTACTTTTCAAAACAGGAAACAATCCCTGTTTCAGAATGGATCATGCCAAGAAAAAAAAACATGTTTCCTATGGATGACGAAAATATTCCGAAATCGTCGACAAAGAATATGGCACGAATATTTTTTAATAAATATTTATATTTTTATAGATATATTATCTTTGCTATTTATATTATATAGCCTATGATTTGGCTAAACTTGTTTCTTTTAATTTTTGTCCGATCTTAGCAGTCGTGGTTTTAATTTTTAAATCATTTATTTATATTTTATTCCTTTTAGTGAGCAGCTATTTATGTATAAAGATTATATATTTTTAATGAACCTTTAATCTATACCCATAAAGTTATGATTAAAAAAAACATACTTTTTTAAATGGCGTCACACGTCCCCATACCTATTTAATATTAATAAATAAAGCTAGTGTCACTGATACTCTATGTATTTTGTGGTAACTTAGGATGATGTTTCTTATAATACCCTATACATTCATATCCGTTATATCTTTCAAAAGTTATGGTGCAATAAAAAAACTCACATACATTCATTAATTCTAAAAACAATAGACTCCTTTTCGAGAGCAGTCGTGTTAAAATATTCGGGAATCGATAATGAATCTCACCATAGAAATACAAAAAAAAATACAAAAATTGGGAAAAGTATCAAAATAGCTTGGTAGTAGTTTCAACATAGTATTGTGGACTCGTGACCTTGAACAATTTGTTGAGAACTCGGAACGCTTCAAAATACCTAATCTCACAGAGTGAAAATTTGTCATATGGCTCTTAAGCGCAAGCGATATTGGCCTTATGAGTGAAATGCCGCCTCTACACATAGGCCAATGCGTTGGCAAGTGCGCTGGCCCAGCCATTGGTCCAATGTGTAGAACGAGCGTTGACGCATTGGCGGTAGGTATTTGAACGTTGGCCAGCGCGCTTGCGTGCCGCGCGGTGTCGGCAACATCAAAGGACACTTGTCGCAAACTTGGCGTACCATCCACACATTGGCTGCGCGATCAGTTTGCCCGGAGCGGCGATTAAGAGTGCACGTTTTCTTCTTGAGCCGAATTAACACCTAACTTGACGAAATGGCGAACAATATGAGTAACGAGGAAACATTTAAATTTATTGAGCTCTATCAGAGTGCAAACTGCCTGTGGAACCCGAAAAATAAGCACCATAAAAATAAAAATGTTGTAAGTATTAAAAGTGCACATTTACAAAGTAATTATAAGCTGTGAATAAATATACAGCTGCAGCTGTTAGCGACTCAGCATCCATTTTGAATCCGTCCGCACATTGGCCCGAACCAAAGCATACTTAACGACCTTCCAATGTGTGGACTAACTCACAAACGCGTTGGCAAGCGCACCTCCAGCGGGTTGGCGAATGCGCTGGCCTATGTGTAGAGGTGCCAAGAGAGCGAACCTGTCCGCCATTGCACCTAGATCGAAAATGGCGCGAAGTAATGCGACACAGGTCTAACGTTGTGGAGCGCTCGCGCGGTACCGACCTCAGACGGCCGCTGCATCGTATTTAGTAGTGATTTTGCGTTTACATTTATCGCTATTATTGAAATACAGTGGACCCCCGATAATCCGGCCCCTGTCTAATCCGGCGCCCCCTGTAATCCGACATGGCTTTGAATACATATTTATTTGACAATCTTCGCTAATGTAGATCACGCAGGTTTGAACAGGTTACAACTCGTACGCGCCACCGCTATTGTGCTCGACGCGTATGCATTGTTTTTGTACTTAGTTTGAATTTGACTACATACTTGTGATAGCGGTACGGCGTAGCGTGCGTTCATTGTTTGCTATTTATTTGTGTATTAGGTATAGTACCTAGTAATGTCATCAACCCAGAAACGAAAGCACAAAACTTTGACAATTAAAGAAAAATGTGATATTTTGGATCGCTTAAATCGCAATGAAACTTTCAGTAGTTTAGCAAGTGAATACGGCGTAGGCCGATCTACAATTTATGACATTAAAAAAAACCACGAGAAGATTAAGAAGTTCGTGTCAACTACTGACTGCGGGCCAGGCAAGAGACGGACACTCAAGAAAGCTGAACATTCAGAAGTGGAAGACGCGTTGTACATGTGGTTTCTTCAGGAAAGAAATAGGCATGCACCAATTTCGGGACCTATGTTGGCCATGAAAGCTAAGTTTTTTTATAAGGAAATAACAAAAAAAGATGATTTTGTGGCCAGCAAAGGATGGCTAGAACGGTTCAAAAGTCGTCATGGCATACGTTTAATGACTATTACAGGAGAGAAACTTTCGAACGATGCCACCTGCATAGAGCCCTTTAAATTAAGATTTTTGCAAAAAGTGAACGATTTAAATCTTGACCCGTCACAGGTGTACAATGCAGACGAATCAGGGCTTTTTTGGCGTGTGATGCCTAACAAAACTTTCGTTTCTTGTAACGAAAAATCCGTACCTGGACGAAAAGTAAGTAAAGAGCGTGTAACCATACTACCATGTGCTAACGCTGCAGGTACACACGCGCTTAAGATGGTGGTCATTGGGAAATCTAATAAACCACGGGCATTCAAAAACATTGATTTACCTGTACACTATTACGGACAAAAAAGTGCATGGATGACAAAAGACCTTTTCAAAATGTGGTTTGATGAATGCTTCGTACCTGAAGTTAGAAAATGGTTAAAAGATCATAATTTTCCTCAAAAAGCGTTGTTGCTTCTTGATAACGCTCCCGGTCATCCGTCTGAAGAAGAACTGACAACTGAGGATAAATGCATCACTGCAATGTTTCTTCCGCCAAATTGCACTGCACTGATTCAACCAATGGACCAGAACATCATTCAGTTTGTTAAGCAAGACTATAAAAAAAACCTACTTCTGAGAGCCGTATCAAAAGACCAACCAATAGAAAAAACTCTAAAAGAATTTAATATGAAAGACTTGGTTTTTGCTCTTTGTCAGTCGTGGAGTGCGTTATCGTCATCAACTATTAAATCGTCTTGGAAAAAGTTATGGCCAGATATAGTCACCACTCCTAGCAACGATCCACAAATCAGTGTAACTTCGGATGTTATAGAAAAAGTCGCTACTGAAACGCAGATACGTCCGGAAGATTTGGAAATCTGGTGCCGTGGAATGGATAAAGAGGAAAATATTTTTCATGAAATGTCTGACGAAGAGATTATAAAAGAGGTTTCTAATTATACAACAAACGATCAGGAAGATAACGACGACGTGATTGCAACTGCTCCACAAGTCACAGCACAAGACGCAGTTAACGCTTTTGAGCTAGGTTTACAATGGGCTGAAGAGAATGGTACATCCTACAACGAACTTTTACTTTTGAGAAGACTGAGGGACAAAGCTCTGACCTCGCATTATAACAACCTTAAACAAAAAAAAATTGATGAATATTTCCAAGCTACATAATTTGATTAATTCATTACATGATTTTGATTAATAATTTTTGATTATTTTAGTACATGTATGTGCATTTATGCTTAATTTTATAATAAAACGTAAGCTCTCAATTGTTATTTAATTTACTAAATTCGACTTACATCAATTAAGTATGATTTGTACTTCGAAGTATGTACATATAACATATAGATTCTTATGATTGGATATGTAATTTGTCGGATTACAAGGTACTCTTTTGTAAAAAAATCCGGACTATAGGGGGTCTTAGGCAGTGCTCTATAATCCGACAAATTCGATAGTCCGACACTGCCCTGCATAATGTTTGTCGGATTACCAGAGGTCCACTGTAATATAATAAATTTATGCTTTAAAATTATAATATCTTTGTTCCTTATGAAATAGTCATTAATCTGGCATAAATTTTGTTAAATAATATAGTTGTGGCTAAGAGAAATTTCAAAGTTAACTTCAAGCAATTTTTGGTGTTTTTTGGTTTATAATTATTTTTTTTCTATATTTAATCAGTGCTATTTCAAAATTTCAACGCTACTGTTTACTTTACGACTATATCCGTACCAGGCGTGAATAGGTTGATAAGTCGACTTACATATATATTTTTTTAATGTATAATATGCATTAGGATTGTTTTATTTATAGGGTGAACAAATGACTAAGTCGATAGATCTGTTTTACCGCACACAGCAAACATGTGAATTTTTAAATAACTCTCTTACTAAAGGGTACAATGTGACATCTTGAGATATTAAAACATACAAATTATAATTATTTATACAACTCAACATGTCATTATAATACTGCCAACTATTAACGAACAACACGAGATATTGATTTATTCCAACAACCTTCTTAACGTTTTAATAGTATAAATCAAGTTGTTCAGTTATTACCGCATCGAGATGCGTGTGTATTTTGTGACAAATGAAAGCAGATCAATTTGTAAAGATTGTTTTTGCAAAACTTTTGGGGAAACAAAAGGTTTCATTAACATTGTAATGGATAAAAAGAAGCACTCTGCAACCGGAATCATTCCAACTGATACAAGAGGACATCAGCCATCTAAAAATAAAAGGACTGTTGATAATTTAAAATCTGCTAAAGATCACATCTTATCATTTCCAAACTACGAAAGTCATTGTTGCAGAAATAGAACAAATAAAAAATATTTATCATCAGACCTTTCTATAGCTGCTATATATCGTTTATACCGCGTGTTACAAAAAAACCCGTTACCCCGAAAATGGCATTGAGTATACATAAAACTGAGATAATGGACGCTGTCCTTTATATCGTAGCCATTGTATTTATTGAAAAAAACAATATCGAAGTTTAGCAAAATTTTCGATACCATTTATCGAAGCACACCGACATTATGATCAGCTGTTTCAGTTCATTGACTTCTAAATCAAAGACTATTTTTTTGCCAGACTGGTTATATCTACTGGTATTTAGTGCCTACGTCACAGTACAGCGAAATAATTTTTCTAGTTATGTGTACATACGCAAATATTCGAACATGCAAAATATTACACGAAAACATTATTTTAAAACTATTTCCAAAATTCGTTTTTATTCAGATTAGAGCTCCCTTTCCAATATACCTTGCCATATTACTATGCCCGTGCTACGCACATATCAGGCACGGAAACAAACAATAAACAGTACGCTATAGTCACTGCACTGGATTAATTACTTTCGCCTGAAATGCTCGTACAATATCTCTTTACGAACTGTAGACGGCCCATCCAAAATAATAATCTTTATAATTAATGCTACGACACGTCACTCAATAATGTACTCATAAAATCAATTTCATCTAATCTAAACAAATAGAGAAGCAGAGGAAGAAGAAATATCGCGACCTCTAGATAAGTAGAATATTCGTTATTGCACGAACAATTTTTTTTCATAATTAGGTAGTTTCATTTTTATGAAAATAATTACAATATTATGAAAGTAGGCGACGTATATCACT